ATGTTGTGTGAGGTGGCATTTCTTTTCACTGGACACCTACAAAAAATATTAAATTTTATTATTTGTTGTTTTTAAACTACTTTATATTTTATATATATTAACATTATACAGTACAGTATATATAATTTGTAATTTGCAGTAATATTTTAATTTATGAAAATATTTTTTTACTGACCTCTTTATTACAGACTTGGCACAGAATAATCTTGCCATCCGACGTGTAATGAGGGAATTCTTGAAGCCATTGTCGAATTAATGAAGCTTTAGATGTTTTAACTTTTGGCATTTTCACTAAAATTTTATCCACAAGTGAACACTCCAAAGACAAAAATAAAACTGATCTGCAGTAGACTGTCAGGCTGTTATTCTGGCAATTCGGGATTTTATGACTTGGTGACAAAAGACTAGGTGTGGCTAATTGCTGTTTTCAGAGGGTATGGTGGAGGGAGAATTTGTAAAATTTTAACTGCCTTGGAATGTAAGCAATACAGTATGTTAAGAATCAAAGTAAATCTTTGTGGGAAACGAAACGAAAAATTAAAAACTTTTTAAAAATATGAAAACAGGCTAAACTTTATGTTTTAGGCAAAAATAGGCAGTAACGTCAAATTAGGCATTTTTAGGCATTTTAAAATACCATTATTTCGGTCTAAATGTTCATGAAAAGTGTTAATACAAAATCTTTGCCATGTATATGCTAAGGGAAAAAAATAGGCATTTGCCTAAAATCCGCTGTCTACACAACCTACAGACTATATCATTATATATTTGTCTAACAAGTACGCTCCGTGATGTTCTTAATGATATATTTCTTGGAACATATTTCCATCATTATGCAGTGCATATCTGTAATATAGTTTTATTTAATATTAATATATATTTTCAATTTCAATTTATGATATAAAGGATGGCCCAAAAGTCAGTTAGCCATGATATCTTATTTTGAAAACAGTTAAGAAACTGTTTACGACAGTTGCGTATTATTATTCATGATTAAAATAAGCCATTTCGATTAATTGGCTTTGGGCTTTCTTATATATCAAATATATCAAGTAAATACGAATAAAATAGTTTAAAATTATCAATTTTTTTTTCTATTAGCACTGGAGAAAAATGCCAAATTACGCAATCCTTGTAGATTCTAGAGATAGAAGCAGACCACAGATTACTTACGTACCTGAAGAAAATATTGAAGTAGTAAAAAACACAAGGGTAATTTTTAATAAATTATCTACAATTTTATGTTGCTTACTAAATTTTTTAGTAATGTACTAAATTACGACAGAAAAATAGTAAAAACATATTCTTAGTTAAAGACATACACACACAAATGTTGCCGTGATAAACTTTTATTCAAAAGCACAAAAATATTTTTTTTTTTTTACTGACATTTACCATTTTANTGGATCTGCAAACATTTCAGCCAATCAGAGGATGGTAAATTCTCGAAGCATTCTTGTAACATGGCTTCCAATGGCAAAAGTGGTTTTATTAACAATTTTAACCAATAGAAATTACTTTTAATGAATCCGGTAATTGAGTGTGAAACAGAAATGGAAAGTAAAAATCGTGAATGAATTGTGCAAATTTCATTTTCTTGACGATTGTGAAACTGTCTTAAGTGCGTATAGGACAGAAATAGTTAAAATTAAAAATAATTAAAATAAAATAAAAACTCATATAGTTATATTCTGTTAGATATAATTATGAAATTTTCAAAAATCTTTCCGTTCTGTGAGCATTGTTTACATGCCAACCATACAATTAATCAGGCCCGCAATGCTGGATGGCACCTATATCCATATCGTAACATCCAATTCATGAAAATACAACTTACATGTAGCAGAATACATTAAAAGAATTAAAATTCTAATAATAGAAATAATGTAATCTGTTATATTCTTTCTTTTCAGATGCCACGTTTTCAACCAGATAACTATTATCTAGGTATTTTGTTCCTCTGTGTTCCATTCCAGTATTTTCTAGTATACTACTGGAATAGCAATGAGGTATCGCGAACTCACGCCATTAATCAGTAAGAAAATTATAATTTGCATTCATCTAAATCATAGTTTTGGTACATATTTAATGATAATTATTTAACAGGTTTATTAAAAATCTAGTCCAGTTTAAGCAGACATTTTTTCATTGGAGTTCCTGGGAGAAATGGTGTTCAAATTTTTTATCGTCTTTCTGGAATGATGGTTTCCCCGATAAAAGTCTTTACGATAGCGACGACCTTCAAGCAGAATCACCGGCAATAGAAGTGATGAAGTTTAAACAGAAGCATGGCTACTTTGCTTGTAAGTAATAAATAAAAATGATTATTTTAGATATCGAAATTTGATGCGTAACTGTTGCGATATTTGTAGCTTCACCCGAGCCACGTAATCCACGATCGCCCAACGTAAAATATCGTATAGGACAAGTAATCATTCACAAAAAATGGAATTATCGTGGAGTGATAATAGGATGGGATGAAAAAGCCAAAGTAAAATATTTAAAATACTAAAAGTGTTTTTATATGTAAGGTTTTACAGTTTAAGATGAAAGAAAATGTTCATATTTTTAAATTTCAGGCACCTGAAGAATGGTTAAAAATAATGCATGGAGCTGAACATCCTGTAAGTAGTGTATATAAATGTAATATAAACTTCCAAAATGTAAATATTATAAAATACAGAAAAAGCAGATAAAATTTTTAGAAATAAAACTTACGAACCTTATCGCGCTTAGCACACTAAGGTTTGTAAGTTTTATTTATAGTTATCGCTTAGGGCTCAACCCTGTTTGCATTAGTGATGTATTTATTACTTTAATATGGGCTTCTCAATATAATGTAGTTGGATGAGCCCAATGTATTACATTGGGATGACTGACACCAATCAGTTTCTTGAGTGTCGGTTATTTTTACATATTATACTATATCACAAACATATAAAACGTCTATTACTCATATTGAAATAATATACGTCTAGAAATGTTCTAAATTATACTTTTCATGTTTATATTCTTGCACTTGCATCCTCTTACATCGTCTATCCCATGTCGATTTGGAGAATACATCTATCCTATAGATGTGCCTCCTTGCTACCAAGATTCTATATGTTATGTCTAAGAAAGGCTATTCAAACCACATGTCGCATGAAATAGAACATCTTGAGTCAACTGATCATGTTAGAGAACAAATTATATGAGGAAGTATCTAGAATCCTATATGAAGTTAATACTAGAGTTATAGACTTAGTGGATCAAGTGACCACTAGGATGTGTAAAATCTACAATAAGAAAATGTGGTGGATCCGTAAGCATCGAAAGAGCTATATGTAGCAACATGCTACACTCTCTATCATGTGTTGGGACAACCTCTCACTACCATCATGCATCATAGAAGCTTGCACCTATGGTCCTAAATTCATACCACAACCAAAGCTTCAGTTAGAGAAGATCATCCCAGATATTGAACAAGAAATCGAAAGTTTAAGTTACATAAATAAAGAGTTTTACTGATGGAAGAGGTTGTTTAAGATAATGAACATTATACCTGTAACCCAATATCAAAGGCTATAAATGATAACAAGCAATGGATAGGACAAAATAATATAGTACTAATAAGGGCAGACGGATTAAAAGATATGGTGATAATGAAGCAATCCACATATAACATGCTTCTAACTGGATACATCAACCAGACACAATGCGTGGTAGCCCATCCACATATGATGGACCATCTGCAAGCGAGGGTCAAACATTTTGTCACTATGACCCTAGCTAGAAAACTCAAAATGGAAAAAATAGTGGACATCTCTCCCTCGATACCATGGCTATTTGGGTTTGCGAAAACCCACAAACCTGGCAAAAGCTTAAGGCCAGTAATAGACAAATGTTGCTCACCCACAATCTTGCTAAAGAGCATGCTCACCGCAAGATGGTATTGAGACCATTAGAAAGAACCATACCCAAATACAGGAACAATATCGTTGTATATGCACTTTATGTAGACAATGTGTTAATAGTATGGAAGAAGAAACCCAACATCAGTATATTTATGGAAGATATTAATTTGAACACATTTGGATTATAAATAGAATTTGAGCAGGAAAGCAATGTCACTGAGCACTTCCTAGACATCTTGATCAAGTTAAAGGGAAACACTGTCACCACAGATATTTACAGGAAACCGATGTATGATGCAATATTCATACCGTGGGCCTCACATAACCCAGTAAGTTATAGATTAGCAGCATTTAGAGCTCTCATAAAATGAGCTTATACTCATTGCATGAATATGCAAGACAGGATACGAGACTTATAATACACCGAGGAGATTGCTCATCAGGATAGAGTGAAGAGAAAAATGATAAAGAGAATGATATACAAATGGAGAATAGAAGATGCAGAGATGAGAAGAAGTGATATACAGAACAAATAAGCTGTCGTTGAATACATAGCAACCCTCAGAAATGTCTACGGAAGAACCAAAAAAATTGTATTTAAAAGAAACCTCATGGTATACAGGATACTAATGAATGACAAAGAGGCCATTGACCCGACGTGCATTCCTGGCTTGTACAGAATACTTATAAAAGACAGCAGAAGGCTAATGACTTATGATACATAGGACTCACTATAGATCACTAAAGCAGAGAATCAAAGAACATAAAAGTAACATCCAAAAGGAGCAGCTGATTACAGCCAACTTAAGCCATAGCGGACCCAGATTTTGTAACGATAGAATGGAATGAGCAGAAATGATCTGAAAAGATGCAGGATAAGAGAGAGATTAAATATGCTAAAGTATGGCACATTCGTAATGCTACAAAGGGGAGCAGACAATAAATTATAGGAAAAATACCATGATTTCATCAGCCTGGAAAGTATTGATAAATAAAATCTAAAAATGAACAATGTAAAAGGATGCAAGTGTTAGAATATAAATATGAAAAGTATAATTTAGAACATTTCTAGGCATAGGTTATTAAGTCATGCTTCAATAATTTATTTATCTATTTAGCTCCGCTAGCACCTGAAAATAATCCAGCAATTTAGAGCTTATGTTCTGCAGTTGATATACGCCTTGTTCATATATTTCTACAAAAGGTACAAATACTGTACTTTCTTTGTAAAAGCAGAGAGAATTTGACTTGTTTAAGTCTTTTGGTCTATATGCAGAAGAATACAAATAAAAAAATATAATGAGAACAAGTTTATAAATACAATTATCTTTTAAAAGTTTTCATTTGTTAAAGTGTCAACATTGTCCTCGTGATTGTCAGCTGAATGGCCATTTAATAAAGTATTTGCTTACTATTGTGAAAAATTACGGTTCATATCTAATTCAGATGTTTCCACAGGCATTTCGGTTTGCACATTACTCCTCATCTCATATTTATGTTGATTGTGAATGCATTGCATGCCATGTTTTGCCCATTAGGAATATAATCTGAGCTGTCATATAGGTTGTAATGTGCTAATGCCTTATGTCAATAAATTCATTCCAATGATTTTATAGTTAAGTTATTTGATGCATTTTATCAAGAATATGAGTCCATCTCTTTTTTGTTTCTAATTTGTGTTGATGCAATCAATGCCTTAAATATTCCTTTCAGTACAGCTCTCCCTTGATAGTCTGACGTTTTTTAATCTGACATGCTCAGTAGTCTGACGCATCTCCCGTCAAGGTACCTGTCCCTGTTATGTGTCTGCTTGCACAGAAGCATGTCGCGACATGAATCTCCCCATCCAATTCTTACACGATGACACACATTTCGTGTGTTTTCTGTGAGCGGTTCTGTTCAAACAGTTGGAGTAGGGAATATTGTAAGCTACTGCTAGCAAAACAATGCAAAATATGTAATTATTTTCGGTAATCTGGACACTTTTGGTAATCCAACACCCCTTTGGTCCCATACCTGTCGGACTATTAAGGGAGAGCTGTATTATAATATTCATATGTGCCACGTAAATTAATGATGGTCTGCTTAACGACATGTACGACAGGGGTCTCATAAGATAACAGTGCAGCCGAAAAATTTGTAGTTGCTTATTGCTTTTCTATGTTTAGATGTGATACTATGTCTACTACTTTTCTATGTTTAGATACATAAATACTTATCATTGTGTTACACATAACTAGACAGCAGACATTTAGGCCCTTAAAAGTAGTGTTTTAGGCGCCTAAAATAGGCTCTTAAATTGTCTCGTTTAGGCTTTATAAACAAAAAATAGGCGGTCAAAATTTGCACAATGAACAAGTAATGTACTTATCAGACAATGGATTATTTATTTAACATATGTATTCCAAACAAAAATGCACATATTCAGAATGCTGCAAACGCAAAAGTAGACAAACAATTATCTTTACATTTTTTATTCACTCTGTTTCCCATAGTTTGCTTCACAATATATTATAAGCACTTTTTCCAAATTTTCAATAGAAAAGTTGCAACGTTTGTCACTGAGTATTAATTTATACGCAGAGAAAGAGCGTTCCACATCTACTGACGATAACGGATAGTATTTCAACCTTGGAAGAAGATGAACTGGGAATTCACTTTCAGTTTTGCTCTTCTTTCCTGCCAAAATATCAGCCACAACAAACAAGGACTTTAATCCAGTATTCTTTTGAAGCACTGCATCCAACTTTTTCCTCACTTTTTCTGCAGCAGTGCCTGGTGCATCACAAAGTTTCTGCTTTGCTCTGTTGAGGAGATCAATNGTGTAATGAGGGAATTCTTGAAGCCATTGTCGAATTAATGAAGCTTTAGATGTTTTAACTTTTGGCATTTTCACTAAAATTTTATCCACAAGTGAACACTCCAAAGACAAAAATAAAACTGATCTGCAGTAGACTGTCAGGCTGTTATTCTGGCAATTCGGGATTTTATGACTTGGTGACAAAAGACTAGGTGTGGCTAATTGCTGTTTTCAGAGGGTATGGTGGAGGGAGAATTTGTAAAATTTTAACTGCCTTGGAATGTAAGCAATACAGTATGTTAAGAATCAAAGTAAATCTTTGTGGGAAACGAAACGAAAAATTAAAAACTTTTTAAAAATATGAAAACAGGCTAAACTTTATGTTTTAGGCAAAAATAGGCAGTAACGTCAAATTAGGCATTTTTAGGCATTTTAAAATACCATTATTTCGGTCTAAATGTTCATGAAAAGTGTTAATACAAAATCTTTGCCATGTATATGCTAAGGGAAAAAAATAGGCATTTGCCTAAAATCCGCTGTCTACACAACCTACAGACTATATCATTATATATTTGTCTAACAAGTACGCTCCGTGATGTTCTTAATGATATATTTCTTGGAACATATTTCCATCATTATGCAGTGCATATCTGTAATATAGTTTTATTTAATATTAATATATATTTTCAATTTCAATTTATGATATAAAGGATGGCCCAAAAGTCAGTTAGCCATGATATCTTATTTTGAAAACAGTTAAGAAACTGTTTACGACAGTTGCGTATTATTATTCATGATTAAAATAAGCCATTTCGATTAATTGGCTTTGGGCTTTCTTATATATCAAATATATCAAGTAAATACGAATAAAATAGTTTAAAATTATCAATTTTTTTTTCTATTAGCACTGGAGAAAAATGCCAAATTACGCAATCCTTGTAGATTCTAGAGATAGAAGCAGACCACAGATTACTTACGTACCTGAAGAAAATATTGAAGTAGTAAAAAACACAAGGGTAATTTTTAATGAATTATCTACAGTTTTATGTTGCTTACTAAATTTTTTAGTAATGTACTAAATTACGACAGAAAAATAGTAAAAACATATTCTTAGTTAAAGACATACACACACAAATGTTGCCGTGATAAACTTTTATTCAAAAGCACAAAAATATTTTTTTTTTTTTACTTGATTAAATTTTATTTTATTATTTTAAATATTTATATATATTTTTTCATTCCATAGATATTAAATCAAGATCTAGAAGACTATTTTGAACATTTTGATGGTGCTCAATATATTCCTCGTCCATGGTTACGATCGCTTTACCCTCTCGATTACTGAGTGAAAACACTTCAACACGGTTCTGTTAATGCATTTTAAGCATACTTACCTTCTATCATTTGTGTGATAATGAAAGTCAAAGATCTGCAGTCGGACCTAAAAATGTTTTAAAATTAAATTGTCATCACTATCACACAAATAATTAAGGGAATCTATTGTAAACGTAGGTCTGCATATAAGAAATCGGTTTAAAATATATATTTTACAATAATTAGACACTGTTGAGATTGTTTAAACAAAGATTTTATTTATATAACATCAAGAATTGTATTGCTTACATTAAAAAAAAAGATACATTTATGCATTTATGCTTCCAGAAAAAGAATATAAATATTAGACAGTCGAATCTATGCAAAGTTAGGTAAAACATTTCAAATGTCTCATATTTTTTTGCCACGTAAATTGGAAAATGAGCTTTGCTGAAGAGAGAGAGAGACTGTGCAGCATTAAATTCAATTAGCTCTTAAACCAGATAAAAGTGTCGCATTTCTAAATAATCTTAAAAGTGACTCTAATGCATTTTTTAAAAAATGGAAAATTCGGTCCTTTAAAATATTCTAAATGCACAAAAGCTTATCGAACAATCAATAAATAACATGTAAAGATATATTTTGAATAAATATCCGAAAGAAAATCTTAAGTTATTTTGTTTTCTTTTTATTGTTTAATTATATTACAAACATTGTCGTCAAATCAATATCCGAAAGAACACATCATAGAATATTAAAATAACTCCAGAAAAAACTTTAACGCAGGTAAGTTATCGACTAATGTTTTCAATCTCTGACAAGATGTTCTTCGGGTTCAATGTTCCAAACTGGAATGCATAAAGAACAGTAATGTAAAAATTTTTTTGGAATACATTTTAAATTAAATCTGCATGAGATACTTAAAAATTAAAATAATCATTTGGCATAATGAAAAATATAATAAAACATACAATAACTTAGCTTTAATCAATTAAAATATTTATAAATAGATGGACAAGCGTTGTCTTGCTGCTTCAGAAAACGAGTTCGTGTCCAGGTCAAAACTTCAGAAACTTTCGAGAGTGGTGTGATCCGTACACACACATATCCACATATAAATTGAGCCTGACCCAATCCATAATAGGCAGGAAAAAGGCCTTATGCTTGCAGGGCAGAATTTTAAAAAATTTATAAAAGTTATTGCGGAAACTCTACCTTGTTATTCAACCAGCAAATGGTGCATGGTTATAAAAATGTTTTCAGTCTTCTAAGACTTGCTTTCGGTCACAAATTTCAAATGGATGGAATGTCTAATGTTTTGATATTTGAATGTGTCAGGTGCAGAACTTGTACAAAAATTCAAATTTTAAATCCTAAAGTCAACCAATGGGATGCATCCGAGTGTAGAAATTGTAAAACAGTTTTCATAATGACGTATCAAATGGTCTGCCACAATCAAACACCAAAATGTTAAATGTTCCATCTATTTGAAATTTGACACAGGTCTTAGATGACCAAAACCATTTGTTTTTCTGAACTTGCATCATTCTGCTGGGTGAATACCAAGGTAGGTAGTTTCTGCCGTATGGTATAACACCAGTTTCTGAAGTATTTTTATTCATAAAAGTTTTTAGAAACTTATTTATCCACATGCATTAGATAATTCAATAATTTTTATTGGAAAAATATACAATCCTTTGGATTGATAATGGGTATTACATGGCTGAGGTGTAGTTAAGGCAGCAGCTTACCACTCTAAAGAACTTGGGATCAATTCTAGATGGGGTTTGAACAACCCAAGAGTTTTTTGGGGTGGTCTGTTTCAGATATGTTGGACTCTGTTGTGGGCTTGGGACAACCTATGATGGGTTTGATTGAAAAAAGACCCACAGGACAAAAGGAGTTTAAAAAAAAAATTGAGTATTACTAAGATGACCAATCATCCTCCTTTAGGGAGGACAGTCCTTTTGTAAGTTCTATCCTCCATCAAAAAGTGTCCTCCGACATATCCTCCTTTTCGATATTTGAAGACTAATCTGTAAATCTCTGTATTTGATCAATGCCGAGCTAATCCATTGCATGTGATCTGATGTGACACGACGATTCATCAAGGCCCGGTATAGTGTGGCAAGATGCGATTATGAGACGCACGCTCTCCGCAAGGAAGACTTTGAGACAGCACACCGCACGCAAGTGGCTTTGTTTACATCTTACTGAAACACAACACGGCACATATGCATGGAGTCGAGATTATTATAGTGTATTATTGTTGCAATGAAAAAAATGTTTTTATTTACAATAATTTTCCTTCAATTTATTTGTGTCCTTCTTTTCATTGTAAAAAAGTTGGTCACCTTAGTATTACTAATCAAGTTAACCCTGTAGCCAATACCATAGTCTAATATTCTCAAATTCCAAATTATGTTTTAACAAATATTTCTAAATCATATATTCACATTCACTTGTTTATGAGTAAGTCACAATTCCAGCTTGGCATTTTTTTTTTTACTTGGTTTACATATTCATCATCAAATTACAAAAATCCAGCAGAGTTGTGTAATGTTTCCAGCAAGAGTTAAAAATTGTGTGTAGCACCATCTGTTATGATATTTTATTAAAGACATTTTTTATATTATTAATTATTATAGAATGGCAGAAAGCTTAATTTTAAGGGTAGAGACAAGTTTCATAAAAAATTGTAAATTCTAATAATAAATAAAACCTTCATTAAGTCCATCCCCAATCAAGATATGACACATGACCCTTTCTATCTTCCCACTCCCTTGACTTTTATCCACCAAAATTTAACAGCATCAATTCTCCTAATACACAAACCTCCCTGCAATATTTCAGAAAATTTCAAAAAAAAGCACAGGAGTTATTAAGCTTCAAAGTGGGTGAACAAAATCATGCCCCCCACAGGAGAACACCCCAATTTTTTTTGCATTTTTCAACATTTCAGTCTCAAGTTGAACAATGTAAACATCTTCAGGAGTCAATTTTTAACTGATTGCCATACTTTCCCTCTATTATATATAACAATTAGGAAAGTAAAAGATGTTAACTTTCCATTCATCATAAAGAAATATAGAAAAAATCTATTATGATCAGGCCATCAAGGGGAAAGCAGGGAAATTTTCCTTAGGCCCAGAGGAAACTTAGGAGTTTCTAGTGGTTCGTACCCATATAAAATTAACATTATTTTTACTAATAGAAAGTAAAATCTTTAAGACTGCTTTTAATTTGTATATTCCTGATAATGAATGAGTTGTGTTGAAACCTTTTTTAACTTCTTTCTGAATTTAATAATTTTTTTAAAACTCAAGCTTTTTGGATTCTAAAAGCACTGTTTTAATAAGGACTGCTATGGAACAGACCACTGGTAAAAATTACAGTACTGAAGATTCATTTTAGGCTCAAACCTGCCACTCTATAGAATATTTTCCCATAATGTAACAGCACAAATAGATTACTGCTAATTTAGTGGTCTGTTTGTTCAGGACCCTTTTCTTCTAGCCTCAAGCTGTAACAAAAAACTGGTGAATCAAAGATAGAAGGGAAAAGTGTCAGGTGCCATCTATACTGATGGCCCAAATTGAGCCTCCTTTGTTTTGGAGTGGCCTCCAGCATATTGACGCGATCCTGTTAGTCTGGTATTTCAGATTCTGTACACACTAACAAGCATATTACAGTGGTAACACTAGTACGAGCTCATGGTTACATTACAGTAACTGTTCTACCCTCCGCACAAGGCCTTAACCACCAGCATGTTTTTCAATGCCCTGGTCAGCTCATAGAATTAATTTTGTCATTCTTACCATTATTTTTTAATTATAATCATCTTTTTTTTCATTTCCTTCTCAAACATGAAGACAGCTACTAGAAAATAGCATCAATCTGGTAACATTGATAAATTAAGAATCGCAGATGTAAAATGCAAATGATGAATGCTTTTCATTACGCTTTGAATATAATTTTTAAAATTTCCTGTATGTGAGCACATGCATACTTTACTAAAAAATTACTTATGTGAAGAGGCTGATCTAGAATCAAATGAATACAGAAAGTGTTAAAGCATTAACATATAAATTCGTTAGCTTATCAGAAAACATGAAACTTGGAATACTCCGCTTCAACAGAAGACAATTGACTTACTTCAATTTCATCATCTAAAAATCATGCTAGAAGAAGCAGACTTAATTGTATAAACAGAATTGATAAGTTCTCTCTCAATTAAGCTTATTAAATTTTCCATTTGTGCTGTATATTTCTCGACAGTAAACAACCCATATTTATTAAATAATAAATTGACAATTGATCATAGGGTAATCTTTCATCTTTTAATCAATCTATTCTTTAAAAAATTCTGTTTTTATAATACCTTACTTGCTTTTTAAAGCAGTGTTTCTCAACCTTTTCTCATTAAAGACTAGTAAGATTATAAATAATTTTACATGGACCAATTACATACAACTATAAATTATATGTTATTATGCTTATCTAGAATGGGAACAACCAGGTAATGTGGAATAAGATCTGGAGTATACAAAAATTTGAAGCTTCAATCCATATTCAAATCCAAAACACAGTAATAGCATCAGCTGTTTACCCTATCTTGACCAGTTGACTCATCAAAGACATTTAAAGTTTAAAAAAAATACATTAAAAACAGCACAACTATGCCGAAACAGAATCCCAAAGCCCTATTTTTAATTAACGTATCAGAAAAATGTACAAAGTCTAACAAAATTACAATTTACCAGAACAATCTTTACGATTACTTCCTTGTTAAAAAAGTAAACAAACAACTGTCCGAATTACCTTAAGTATAAAAAGTCCAGCAAGAAAAATTTTATTATGAATTTGTGATATTCAAATTAGTTTTTTTTTTCTGTTTTATTAACCGTAAATTTTACAATGAATACTTCCAGATATTATGTAGACTAAGTAAGCAGGATTCAGAATATAGTTTTTTTTTTTCTTTCTTAATAAATAAAGTTTAAGTCCTCTCTAAGTAGAAAAAATTGCTTTTAATTTTACAAGATATAAAATTTTCTTGTTTATATATGTATTTTACAGTATATAATTTAAAATTTTGTGAATAATAGTAAAATATATAATGAGAGATTATCTTAGTATTACATTAAAGTTCTTTAGAGGGGAGAACCCTTCTGCACTTAGAATAATCTACTCAAAAATAATGCATATTATTATTTAATTTCTAAATTTATCCCTGACCCATTTACAAATTTATAATTCAGTTCTTCTGTCAAAAAAAAAACACACACGCGCACACACCACAAAAAGAATTATCGACCCGCAAGATTTTTAAGCGGGTAGACCCAACGATTTCCTGACCAAGCGGTCGGCGATCTTGTTGAACTGTTCTCTGTCCTCCCGCCACATTTTTGCGGCGTCCACATTGGCTCCGCTCTCGTCGTTCGGCTCAGCCAGCATGGAAACGACCGAAAGGAGGATCTTCTCCACGCTCTGGACGGGGCTCCATCTTTCCGCGGACGATTCGTAACCCATCGGATCGTCTCCCGGAGCGTGAAGGATGGAGATGCACACTCGACCGTCCGGATAAATGTTTGGATGGAACATCTCGCACGTGAACTGCATCTTCGGGGGACTGAGAGGATAATCGGGTGGGAACGTTAATTTTGCTGGAAACACGCCACCTTCGAAGCAGGTCCCTTCTGGACCGGTTATGAGTGCTTCCCATTCAAAAAAATTCTCTTCGTTAATGGGCCCTGCGATAATTCCTTCGGGAGGATTGAGAGTTAACTGCTTGTATTCAGCCATTAACCTTCGGAGTGCCGAACCTGCCATTTCTTAAACTGAAATATGTAAACACTTCCTGGAACAAACTGTAAACAACTTCCTAGAAACAAAAATGGAAACGATAATTTCTCTTGAACTTATTCAAGAAACGCTGTAACCACGAAAAATCATTTATTTAAGGCAAACGAAGCGTTAACAAGTAGCAGATTCGAACATCCAGCTAACACTTCCCAAAACACACCGATTCCATTCCTGCAACGTATGTCGTCATAGAAAGAATATTATGACGTCAAATTTTTAAATAACCATAATTTCCGTTTTTATCTAATTATTTTTATTAATTCACAGGAATAAACTGATTAAATCGTTAATTTAAACTTAAATAACGAAAAATATTTTATAGAACGGAATAAAAAAATTTTCTAGTGAAGTCAATTATAAACGTTTAAACCTTTATATTAATATTTTGGTTCATAATTTATTAAATAAAATTAGTAAAAATCTTAGAAATTTTGCTGAATATAAATTTATTTTTTTATTTCGTAATTTTTTTTTATTATTTTTTTGTAGAGGGCATGGCGGTCGCTTGTTTTTGGATGTGGAAACGTGCTTGAAACGTGGTGATTGTTTTTTCCCGCGAAAATCATGTCTTACGGTAATTTATGCGTAAAATACGTTTCTAAAAAGATTAATAAAGTGCGTTGGTGTCCTCATATTAAAGGAAACGAAGAAAATGATGATATATTTGCACTTGGTAGCTGGGATGATGAGGTTATGATGTTCTATTATTATTTTTTTTGTATTTAATTTAATTTAATGTAATTTTACATGTTGATATTAGTAATTTTATTATTAAAATTCTTAAGACCTATTAATTAATAATAATAATAATACATGAGTGTCATGACATAATTACTGATCAGTAATGAATGAAAAAGTGTGAAGTGAGTTGTACTTAAAGTTTGCAAAAAATTTGGTAAGTGCAACATACAACATTAGCCCTCCATGTAATCTCCAGCCACGTTTAGCACCTGTTGCAACTGTTTGTAAGTGCTGTACTTTATCAGCGGAATGTTTTCGTAGATTGAGCTTGTGGACTGCTCTGTTACAGCTAGAATGGCATCTGTCAGTGGGAATCGACATCATATACGGAATTCCTTGAATATCATTTACAACCAGCATGTTGCTGCATGCAACTTGGATTCTTGCAAGAACGGGCAATAGTATCACAGAAATGGAGTTGGGAGATTCCCGAATGTCAAACCTATTCACTTGACATGTCTCCCTGCAATTTTGATTTGTCTAAAGGCTAAAGGAGCCTTTACAAAGTGTATGATTCCCATTGACAGATGCCATTCTGTCTACTATGGAGCAGACTGTGCTATGAAAATGGCTATGCTGCAGTACAATGCCTATCAGATATTTTGTAATGGGTGCTACATATGGCTGGAGACTCAATGGAGGACCTGTAAAAACTTTGGAAAGTACAACCCATTTTATACTTTTTATTCATTAGTGATCAATAATTATGACACGACTCTCGTGTTTTAAAACATTCTATATAATAAAAATAAGAATAGCAAAGAAAAAATAATATACAGTTAAAAATTTATTGTGAATTATATTGGCTTTAATCTTCATTTCTTTTAATTGATGTTTCTCTACAGCGTGAACTAAGCTTTATTAATGTTATGAGATAGCAAATTCACAAACAAACTTTCATAATTTTATTTTGCTATGTATAATTTGTAACCACAAGTTTATTTAACAAGTGTATATGTCAGACAGTTATATTTATCAAATTGATTCATTATATGAAAGTTATATGTATAATTGCATTTAAATCTTATGAGTGCATAATATCAAATTTATATGGTGATGCAATTATTATTAAACCCATGAAGTAATCCAGTTTTCTTTAAGAGAAGTGAGAGGTAAAAAGGGAGTAAAAATAAAGGTTTAATGGAAAAATGCTTTTCCTTGGGCTGATTCTTTTTCATAACAGGTGTTAAATCTAAATGACTATTTTCCATTTCATTACTGCTGAGTTCTATAGAAGGAAAGAGCGATAGTATTGAGTTCAACTAGCGGCCTGTATCTTATCTACTTTCAATAATTCCGACAGTTCAGTATCCAATAGCAACAGAAGACTTACATTGAATATTTAGTCATATCACTTGAATGTCTATGTGGCTTGTCATTCAAATATGAAATGGAAGCCTCCATTGCTATTAGATACATAATCTTTGATATTGAAAGTAGTTAGATTTGAGCCCCAGATCTAAACAGTAATGTTTTCTTGATTGAAATCATGGCATCTGATGGTTAGATGAAAACACTAAAGAATGCTGTTAACCTGAATTCTGTTTGTCAAAATGCAAGATATCTGCCATCGTTTTTAATTTAGCACCTGTTTTCTATGGATTAGGCCAGATTTTCTCAAACTTTTTGCTCATGCAACCAGTATATTTGTTTGTAATGGTTTTGAAACCCAAATGTTTATATTATAAAAAAACCTGATAAATTGGAATCTGTATATTATATAATGAAATAAAATTATGCATTATTGATAATAAATTCTATGTATGAAATGGGTCTGGCTGAACCTACAACGGGCATGGAAAAAAGCCCTTGTAGTGTTCACAGGATGGAAAGAGTTAAAAAATAAAATTGCTTGTACACTATTTGTATTAAAATTAGATTATTATGGAGCAAAAATATCATATGTATGTGTTTATATATTCTAAACTTTTTGCATATTTTAAGATCATAAGTTATTATTCATTTTCTTAGGCAAATACAATATCTATATGGAAAAATCCCAAAAATTCATCAGATAAAATGGAAAGTGACTTAGACGAAGATCCAGAATTCATTGATGAAATTTCACATTCAGGAGACGTTACTGCTCTTGAGGTAATTTTATAATTCTTTAAGGTTTTTGAATAATAATTGCCATTAAAAAAAAAAAAATTTGACTCGGTCTTATATGACAGTTTCCAGCAATGACAGCAATGATTATATATTTTTGTTTGCTGATTAAATATATCCTAAAACTATTATAAATAATGATAAAATGTAGCTTATCAAAGGTTTGGAGCAAGAATTTTTATTATAATATAGATTTATTATTCTCTGAATTTGGAAGATTAATTACCAACCCCCTTCCTCACCATTGTGTACAATGATGTACTTTTTGTGATGTGCCTTCCCCTTAAATTTCATGTGTAATTAATGGATAGCCTGTTAACAATAAAATTAAAAGTTTTCAAGACTTGTTTGGATGTTCACGGAAGTTACTTCCAACATTTGTTATAAGAAATAAAAGTATGCTGGATAGAAATGACCTATTAGAAAATTATGTATGATAATGACATTAATTACTTTTTTTTGGTATTTAGAAACTTTCTGAATGTCTTGTAAAACATTAATGGGACCAGCAGGAAAGGGTGGAAGTAAAGGCTATACTCCTATAGATCTGTGCCAAAATCTGTATAATAATATTTTAATTATAAAGTCTAGAAAAGTTTTAATTTATGTAATTTTAAGGATAGAGAGGAAAAAGTATAATAAACTGAGAGCATCACATCACAAGAGGATATAAGAAGTCTGAGATTGCTCTCCATGGCTCTGCACGTTAAGTTTCTGAGAAGGGAATATTTTTTCAAATAATTATTTCCAGAAAAACAAATGGAGTGTGTGTAAAACAAAAATTAGATACCTAGTTTACAATACAGTGGGTGATTGGTTAAGAAATAGTTCGGACTGCAAACAAATTGGACAAGGAACACTTTTGCGAAAAATTTTTATGTTTGGATAACAAACACCTCACAGAATAAACATAAGAAGATGCAACGTAAAATAATGAATACCAATTGGTCTTCCCTTGTCTCCTGATGACAATTCGAAACCTTTCGGAATGCGGGAAACGTTAACATCAACGCTCAACCTGATACTGATTGAATATTATTCCTCCAAACTTTGAAACTCTTCCTTCTAATTCCAGCCTATTGTTTACCTTTCTAACAGAAAGAATTTTTTTATTGTCTTTGCGAGACTGTCGGGCACTCGTTAAGTTTTGAGTCAGTCTTTATTTTTGAAAGGTGAGAGTTTAACTGTCCCATTGGATATTCATTATCATTTTAACGCCAAATTTTTAATTCCATTTGGGCCTCACGTTTACATAATTTTTTGTGTGCTAGTTGATTTGGGTTCTCTGAATTTTTTAAGTGCTTTTCTGAACTCTTTATTTAAAAAAGAAACTGATAATATTATGGAGTCTAAAAATAGTGGCGTGTCAAGAACTGTGTTCACCATAGAAACCAAGCAAGAGATAATAGCCAAGGTAGAGAGTGGACAGATGTCTGATGTTGCTAGGCAGTATGACTTGAACAGGTCTACAGTAGGCACAATCTTAACTAAGAAAGATATAATCAAGAAGACTCAAGCAGATAAACGAGTAACAAAAATCACATTGAGAAATAAAGATGTACCATCTATGAAAACATGGAGAGATTGAATTTACAATTTTTTTTTGTAATAACTCAGGATGTATTTCTTCATAATTCGAAGTTTAGACTATTTACAAAAAGTCAAAATAACTTTTGAGTCCATCTTTATCCTTTTTACACTACCACAGAAGTAACAGTCTTAAAAAATTTGCTTTGAAGAACTCTTCTTAAACACAGAACACCCCCAAACAACAAAAAAACATGACTGACAAAAATGCAAGACTGTGTATGTATGTGTATTATCATTATCACAAATAAATAAATGTAGTGAAAAAGTATATAATTTTTCATTTACTTTTTTGGGGTTGGAGGTAATGGATGGCCGCCATCAGTTAGATGAAACCTGGCCGTCTTTCTCCATCCATTTTCATCTCCACAAAGACTGTCTTTATCAGAAGGCAGTAAACATGAATTAGTTAAGTCCACAACCACGTTTTAAACTAAAACAACATTTATTTACAACAATCTTACGAGTACACTTGAGAGAGAGCTACACGTGCTCATGGTAGCGATCACCCAACAAGAAAAAAACAACAATTTCCAGAATCCCATCCGGGAAAAACTCTTGTCTCCGTTTTTCAATCCGGGATTCACAGGAAACTCCTAGAGGAGTGGCGCCATCTCCCCAGTCTGTGATTTGTCGTTGTAGGGTCTCCAGAAGAAATTAATCAAATTATCATAAGAATTTATCGTAAATCGATATTCAATTAATGATCAATTCGGGTAGCAAACATTGTCTTGGATCATATCACCACTCACCCACTGTACTCTATTCTAAACACATTAGTAATGTTTTTAATATATGATAATTACTAAAAATTTCGTTACATGTAGACTAACTCATAAGATTGACAAAGAATATCCCAATTTTAAGAATTGCCTTGAATTTAAGAAGCATCAAAATTTAAAATTTAGAAAATTGCATTGTACACTTTGAAGAAATGCATTATGTAATAGTTATAATTATTCTAAATCAAAATAATTTTTTTCAGTTTTTGTCGAATGAATTGCTGATGGCAGCTTCATCTTTGGGATCCGTATCACTGTACAAATATAATCAAGAGGTATTAGATTTGCTTATTCATATATATGGTTGGATGGAAAAATCTTTACATTAAGTTCTTATTTCATGAAGTAAATAGATGAGTAGTATTTAGAATTTATATCAAAAGTATTTGCAAATATAGCTTTGTTTTTGTGTGTTTTAAATAAATTAAACTATATTAAGATGGAAATACTATTATACTTTCAATGGTTTCATTGTAAAGTTCAGTAATGGTGCTAGAATTTTTATTCTGGGAAGGCAGAGTAGAGTGGAGCATTGTTTTAGTAGAGTAGGTAGTATGAATGGATGTCTTCATTTTGTTATTCATTTTGAAATACTTTTAACATGGATGACAAATAAACAGATGGAAGTCTCTAAGAATAAGTTGAAACTGTAAGAGCACCCTCTTACAGTTTCAGCTATGAACAGAAGTATGTGCCAACCTCATGCTTACATGTGTTGAATATATGCAAAGATTTTTCAATCTACTGTAATAAAAATATATTTAAAATATTAATATTTATTGTGGAGATTCTTATTTAGATCATAATACAAGGTGCTTTAAAAAAAATGTTAACACATAAGGAGAAAATGCACCTTCACTGTTGTAGAGATAGTAGGGCCATTTTATAGAAATCCATGCAACTTCTTGCACAAGAACAATGCCAAGGATAACCTCCCACTACAAATCAGGCATAACTTACTTCCATGTTAGCATTAACATCTTTTGAAGCACCCTGTATAATTTGTGAGTAATGAACTACTATCATCTATGAAATGATAAAGTAGAAGTTTTTAATAATTAAGTTCAGCTTCAATCGAAAACATTGACGAAAACATGGTAAAATACAATAGACTCTGCTTATTTTAGTCATAGATTTATTATCATTTGTTTATTGTAATCAAAGTTTAGTTAGATGGCTGGATGGCCTAGTCATTAAAGTGGTAGCCTACCACTCTGGGAAACCCAGGATCAAATTTGGACAGGTCAAAAATCCTTACGTACCACATTCAAAAATCATGAATATTTGAACACCAATCAATAGAATAACTGTTCGAATTTTACCATCTGCATTCAAATGTCTTCTTGTCTATTACATCTAGGAAGCAAAAATAGTACACTATTTTTGCTTCCTAGAGAGAATATGTAAAGCAAAAATAGTGTACTATTACTGCAAACAGAGAGAATATGTAAAGCAAAAATAGTACACTATTTTTGCTTTACATATTCTCTCTGTTTGCAGTAATACTACAACAGAAAGAGTGTTTTTTGTGTTCTGCAGTTTGCAAAGTTGGAATCAGTCATCACTGCGCAACGTGATTTTCAATACTTTTTTTAGTTTTGCAGACAATTTCAAAGTGATCTACCATGTAAGGCAAACATTCTTGTTGCACAGTGATGGCTAATTCTGACTTTGTGGACTACAAAACATAAAATGCCATCTCTTGCTCTTGCTCTTCCATTTTCATTTACTATGCAGTAAACAAAAAGATGTTTGAATGCAGATTATAGATAAAACTGAAACAGTTACTCTATTGATTTGTGTACAATGCATACTTCTCTGTTAATAATCAACATAATTACAGTAATTTAAAATGGTAGCATTGTTTGCCTTGAAATTATGTCTACATTTTAAGAAATTCTGTGTTTCCTATTGTTATGGGTAATTAATATTTACATATACAATAGTGCTCTGCTTTATGACTATAAACACATTTTAGTTTCATGAATATGAAAAATGGATGCAAATGCCGAGTTTCTACATTGTTATTATCGTTAACGTAACTTTACATTGTAGAATGTCGTTAAAGAAATAATAATTTGGCATATTGATTATGTTTGAGGAAAATTTTGGAGTTAACAAATCCATGAACAATAATTAAGTGCTGAATTTGTAAAGCAAGATTTGATTTGATTAAGATTTGATTAGTCATTGCTTAATTTGATTTGATTAGTAATTTAATTGATTAATTAAATTTCTATTTAGAAATTAGAAATTCAACACACGTGGGAAAAAATACACCATTATTGTCATCAGACGGCGTCTTGTACAGATATAACATACATGGAAGATAACATTGTTAGCATTGGAGAAGATTGCAGATTAATTTGCTTAAATATCAAGAAAGATAAACAAGTTAAAATAATAGGTAAATTTTAAAATTTTATATGATAGCCCTCATTATATTGCTCATTTGGATATGTCAGATTATTATTATTATTTTTTTTTTTTGTCTTCCAAGTACAGGATAGCCATCATTAAGGCTTCCTTATTCAGAGCATTTTGTAGCTGAATCTCATAAGTGGATTGATACCAAAATATGGACTCCACAAATTTTGATGTCCATCCACTTACTGGTTACAGTTACAGTGTGCTCTGAACGTGGAAACATTATTTATGGCCACCCCGTGTAAAAGAACTTTAGTCAATAATGGATAGATACATCAGTTATATTGTGCCATCTAATATGTCACTTAACCAGTTTGTTTTCCTACTTGCACAAAATAATGAGGGGCTACTGTATTACTAAAAATTTCAGTTTTGTATCTTAAAAAAACAAATTTTATTTTGTAGATGAAGCCGATAGCTGTCTATTGACGACAGTAGAACATTTACAACATAAGGAAGTAATTACCGGAAATATGAGAGGATATTTAAAATTATGGGACTTTAGAATGCATGGAAGCAAACCTTCTCGCATTTTATTGTTGTGAGTTTATATTTACTTTATAATGTTAAGTTGATTTTTATATTTATTAATATATATGCAGTTTACTTCTATTCTTGGAGGACTTTATATCATAATTAATATATCTTAAACTTTGTCCCTTGTACTTTTGAGCTATGGTCAGATGGCCGAAGCAGTTAAAGTGTCGGCCTATGTCAGCCTAACATTCTGGGAGACTCGGGATCAAATTCAGGCAGTTGAAAAACCCCATGAACTTTTCACAGGTCTGAGAAATGCCAGGCTCTGTCCCATAACCACTCAGTTGTTTTCATTGTGGAACTGGCTGAACTCACAATGGGTATAAAAAAAAGTTCTTAGTGCCCACGAAGCAGAAAGAATCTTTGTTTATATCATATATGTCCATAAAGATTGAAAATTGTATCACGTACTTTAATTCTTTTTTTTATATTATAATCGTCTGAGGATTTTGCTGTATGACATGAAAAAATTGAGATTTATCCAGGTTTTTTCTAATCTATTAAAACTTTGGCATGGTCATGGTAATAAAGATATTCAACTTGTTACTTTGGAGGATCCGGGTTCAAGTCTATGTTGAAACCTCAGATTTTGACCTTTGATGGTTTTGACTTAAATATTTTATGCTTCATTCCTCATGACCCAACACCTCATTCTCATTGTTCTAGTTGAATCGAACATTTTTATTTTTATTTTTTATTATATTTATTTACGGAATTCAGGAATGCACGTGATTCACATTAATGCTGAATTTTGACTTTTGAAATGTTGTTCGGAAGAATAATTCTTCGAATATCGCTATTTACGGGTCTTCGTTCATAGTTATTCTAAAGACGAAACGCTGCTTGAGAAAGGTCCTAGGGAAAGAACCGAAAACGTTTGCAGTACATTTTACGATTATTTAATACCGGTTATTGGTTTTAGTAAGTGATATTTTTATATTAATCCGGTATTTGAAGATTCTTTATCTAGTTGAATCCATGATGAGTATGGGTGGAGAATGGATATCTTATACTACAAGCTACTATAAAGAATATAAAAGGTGCTTTATTAGAGATTGTTTGAATTCTCTCCATCCTATAATGCTTTTAGGGTGGAGATAATTAGAAAAATCCATAATAAGGCAATGCAAAGATACAAACATCTTCAAGAGCTTCTTTTTCTAATACAATAACTTGTTTGTTTTTAAAAATGCTACACTTTATGCTTTTACAGAAATATCATTTGTGTTTGTTAATGTTTTTGTTTTAAAGTAGATAATGACATAAAATTTCAAATAATGTTGCACCAACTTAAAAAATTTGTATATAGTTTTAACAATTATGTAATTTTAAGGGGACAAAAACAATAAAAAAAATTCTTTATTTGCACAATTATCCTTTATAATTTAAAGCAGAATTTCTAAATAACCATAAAAAGTTACTTTACATTTTATCTTGAAAATAAAAATTTGCATATTTTATTAAATTATAATTTATTTTAATAGAACTGGAGGACAATCTGCTGTTACTTGTATGGCCCAACATCCTACCCAGTGGCATACATTGGGCACGGGAGGCGAAGACGGATTATTATACATCTGGGATTTAAGACAAGACCGTCAACCAATCACTCTACTTAACGCACATTCCATGGCAATGATGGAAATAAAATTTCATCCCTTAAATCCCGATCATCTGTTCACCTGCTCTCAAGACGGAAATGTTTGTCATTGGGATGCAACGTCTCTGAAATCCAATCCAGCCGGAAATAAAATTAAATCCACAGGTATTACAGATAAAGAATATTCTGTTTTCCATGTAAATTTATTATTTTATTTAAAAAAAAAAAATTCTTTTAGCTGCAGAAACTGTTGGAGAAGTACAGAATCCCTGGTTGAATTGTGATGCATCCAAACATAGGTTAGAAATTGCATCATTGTTAAAATATTCTACTTTACCTATAAACAGTTTAGATATTGTAAACAATGTCTTGCTCTGTGGATCTGATAATGAAGCCGTATACATCTTTCCCAAATTCAATTTATAGTTTAAACTTGTGTTGCATAAATTTAAATATACCATAAATAATTATAATAAAACTTTTGTTATTATCATTTTTATAAACTTAAGTCTATTGTCTGATTCTTTTAAAATAAGTTTTATCTGTTTTTATTGAAATATTTCATACAGAAAGCCTGTGTGAGATTAGCAGTGGGTCACTGGTTAATCCTCAAATGACTGCTTACTCTGCACGGGTTGATGAAACCCGATCTCGGAGTTGTTGGATGGCTAGGAGGGCATATCGAGTGGTGAGTGCGTCGGTAAGTTGGCAGGTGTCCTCAAATGACTGGAGACAGGTTAACAAAATAACAAAGCATTTATTGAATCACTAAATCTACGTTACAGAAATACTAAGGTTAAATGCGGTTATGTTAAAATATTTACAGAAATTTGCAATGAATTTCATAGCTATGTCGCTGACCTAATTTCTAGTGAGAGAGAGTGCTTTTACAAATTCTAACCCCTAAATACCTTTCGGTGGAAGGGAGAGTTGGCGAACATCGTCTGTATGGAAGGGTGTGGTGTCTTCTATCCAATGTCCTCTCTCTGTAGCTTGATCGGGTCTGCTGTATGGAGGTTCGGGAGTCAAGGTGGCACTATCACAAAGTATAACTTCCTATGACGAATCGCCCTGAGCTTCTGGAGATTCGAGCTTTTATATCATTTGCGTGGGAAAACTGACACGTGATTGACTTTTGTTGACGACAGTGCATTCTTCACACCTAACTGTAAACTTTCACAGCTAGTTGTTATACAATCGGTGAAATCCGATCTAGTTCAAATTCTTCACGTTTTTTCCGAGGATATTTACAATTGACAGAAAATTTAGATTTTTAAGAGACCCGTAAAAATCCACAGCTCACATCTGCAAGTAGTTAATGTTAAGTTATAATCCTCCTTTTGTGATGTGACCTAAATCTTTTTTCACCATTTCTTCATGCTAATCACCATATTATCCTCCTTAAAATTAAAGTAAATGTTTTAATTTACAACTCACTGAAGGCTAATAATTTGGCTAAATCAATCAGCTTTTTAATTATATAAAAAAGGTATGAATAATGATTGGTTTACAGTCCGATAGCAGTAGACAGCCGAGCGGTCAAGGTAGCAGTATGTCGCTCTGGTAGACCCGGATTCGAATCCAGATGGGTCAAAACATTCCCAGGAATTTTTTGGTGTGGTCCGTCTGGGTAAATCAGGCCCTGTCCCTCACCACCCTTAGTGCCCACAGGGTTGAAAGAGTTTTAAAATAAAAGTCCAATGGCAGCATGGTGGCGTGACAGCAAAATTTAAGATGTTCCACTGTTTGCCATCCTCAGCTCTGCTAGACATCAAACTTGCAGTGCTTTGTTTTTGACTCCCTAAATTCCATTAAGTGCACTCAATTCATCGAGAAGCTTGGGCATTGTCACTGACCCAACTATTTCTCGAAAACGAAGTCGTGGATCCCCATTTTTTTACATTTTTGGATTCCTTGTCGAGATTATTAGAAAATAGCAAAGTTTAATCAAAATCGTTTCATCAGATTTAGAGAAAGAACTCAATTCTGCAGTGGCGTGCCGTCCTTGTAAGCGGTGGAAACGCCGCTTCCCATGTATTTTCTAAAATATAAAGATATATTGTGCGATTATTTTCATATAATTAAAATTAATATTTTATTATAACCACATTATGTATCTTATTACAAATTTCTATACTACATGTAAAACAAATGACAAGATTGCTGTTGTATATTCGAATATCAGTGGCGAAATGGAAGCGCTGTATTGTCGAATATGGGACAGCTTTCAAACAGCCAGATTATACGCATTCGTGCATACGCTTTACAGAGCATCAACCTCGCGGTTTAGCTAGTGGATGCCAAACACCAAAATATCGTATAACGCTTCCAATGATTCTATCCAGGACCGGTTCCGGGCTGTTAGCCGCCTGCGTGCTAGATATTTGGCCTCCCTCGCCCCATTATGTGAATCGCGAGTAGATTTATAACTTAAAATATTATTTTTGAAAGAGAATTTAGATACTGTAGTCCTTTTTCTCGCTAATTTCTAAAAATGTATTTTCCTCCCTTCTGCATCTCACATTAGCATTTATAATTTTTTTTCATACCCTTAAAATTAAACCTTTTGCAATTTTTTAATAATTAAAAATATCAAATTATATAACAAAATTTCATAACAGATGGCGCCACACACAATTTTATTTATTATAATTTAATTAAAAGTATAAAAGTTATTTTCTAAATAAAATCTCACAACAGCCGAGAAAGTTACGCAACTCGTTAGTTTTGATCGATTCTTTTATAAAAAAAAAACAGTTACATTTCTTGAAACGAACGATCTTTTACTCAGTTTCAATATAGAAAGATCTATATTTGATTGTTTCGTGTAAAATACATACACGATATTTTCTATCGGTCAGGTGAATTCATAAAATTTGCTTATTTAATATACTAATTAACGTTTACGTAACTAAACCATAACACGCATATTTAATATAACCAACGTTCGATGACGTCAGGTAAGCGCTCTTAAAATGGCGTCGGATAAACGAAATGTTACGAAATTCAGTAAAAATTGCACTGTCGGTCAATCGGAAACTTGGTCCGAAAATACTGGACGAACCAGAGGAATGATTTGTTCTAGTTTTGGGGGTGGCGACGTTCGATTATAGAAAATCTCGCTTACAACCCCTTGTGGAGAGTGGAAACCGAAGACAGAGGGTGATAGGGAGTCTCTCGATCCCAATCCGTCGTCATTCGGGGGATAGAAACGTAAAAAATGCAGATATTTAGCCTTAAAATTCAAAAAGAATCCATGACGTCAATCGCATTGGAATTCGTTACGCGCTTTTCTAATCTCCATAGAAACGGCAACAATTGCTGTTTCTATTGTTGCAACACGATTTTGCGTCACTTTGCACGTTTTTCGCTTGCTGTGAGGACGTGTGCGCTCTTTGCTCCTGTTTTCGCTGTGTTTTTTGCCTTCTTCAGTGTTCTTTTCTACCGGAACGTGGTTTTAAGAAGACTTGTGGACGCCGACGTTATACCAAGTAAGATTTTAACTAGAATTTATCTAGCTGTAAGATTTTATTTTCGTTTCGTTTAGTCCAACTTTCGGAGACGACATCGGCGTTTAAATCTGCCGTCGCTTGTGAATTAGGACTTTTAAACGAACGACCGAAGCGCCGAAAACGGATTAAGTATTTGCTCATTGGTTTATTCTCGTAATTAATTCATTTATATTTTATAAACACGGTCAAAGAATAAGGATTATTTATAGAAATTCAATTAAAAATTACTTAATACTAACTTTAAATACGAATTCCATCGTAATTTTAACTAAAATATACTCTGGTAACATTGATGGACGGAGACCGTATTCTGAAGCATGGGATGTTCGTTCGACAGGTCAAAAACTTCGCCCTTTGACCTCCGATGCAATTTATGTATTAGTTACAACGCTTTTCAATGGCTTATTTTGCCAGAATTAAATTGTCTGCAAACACATCTAATACTAATACACTTAACAGTTATCTATACAGGCTGGACACAAAGAATTCTTTTCCTTAGGCTCTTTGTCTCTTTTCACAAGGTGGTCTGAGTGCAGTCGATCTTCCACACTTACGTAACATTTAAGTGGCACAATGCTTTGTGCCACTTAAACGTTCGTGTCCCGAATGGCGAGTTGGGCTGTGGGCACGTTTCACTTCTTCCTACGTTTGTCTTGTGTTTCGGTCGACTCGTTCGCAATTTCTTTGCACGAAACTCTTTTAAATGCCGTCGTTGCGTTTATGTGACGTACACGTTAGGGTAAATTGCTCTAGAACGAAACACTTGTTACGACTCGGGCTCGAATGCCTTTTCCTCATGGCTACGTGCGGCGTGTCTTTAATTTACTGTCGTACAAATACAAATTACACGTAAGAGAGTTTCTTCGTTCCGGGTCGGTCGTCTCTACTGCAAATACAGTTGGAACGTTCTAGCAATTTCCGGTAGGATCTAACGCGAGCTATCCGAATTCCGATTCGTCGTGAGTATAATCTTGAACTTTTTCTGCGTTAATCGGTCCCAGAAGACATCTCGGCACGTCGTTCGATGGTCGGATTCGAATCTTTTAGATTTAAAAAGGCAGCTGCGGTGAGCATTTTGCTTTTTTCGGAAGAATTTAGACATTAATTTAAGCTTTTGTTTTAATCGACTAATTGCAAATTTTCTTTTTTTCAGAATGAAGATGTTGGAGTGGTTTCGCCGGAGGTTCCGACGGAAGAATGCGGTGGCGCCGGAGGGAGGGGGTTCCTCGGACGGCTCCGATGAGACGTTCGAGGACCGTGGGTTCGACCGTGTCTCTGTCGAATCGATTAGTTCGGTGTCGTTGGAGACCGTCGAACAAGAGGCAGTGGGTGGTGACGACCTTCCCCCAGTGCGTGTGGCGTGGGACTCTCCCGGAGGCGGGAGAGTTCTGAGTCCATTCCACTTGGTCAATGTCGTCAGGGAGCAGCCGGCCACAAGCCTTGTTGTGGAAGACGTAGAGAGTGGCGAGTTCTCTTTGAGTTCGGCGTCACTTTCTACTTTCGCGTGGTCTGCCTCTCTGTACGCGCTCGCGAGCTCGTCGCCATCGTCTTTCCGAAGTCGGAACGGGGAAGCATCGGAGGAGAGCGCCGCCGAAGTCGAGGAACCGCGGGTTTGTTGCTGCGGGTGGCTGCGGTTCCCTCGGCCTAGGCGGTGATCCTCTTCGATTTTCCCCAACTCGTCCTTTTCACCCGGATGCGACATTCTGACCGGATTCGACACTTTTCACCCGGACATGACCTCTTTACTCGGACGTGGCCTTCTCTTACCCGGATGTTCTCACGGACTTGTCTCCCGAACGTGACACTCGATCGACGACAACGGATTTGACTTCCGATTGTGACCACCCGGACTTGACACGTTTCTTCACCGGACGCGACATTCGGCCGACCTTTCTTCCCAAACAGCTGTTACGAGGATTGAGCTTCTGGTTAGGTTAGGTTAGGTTAGGTTAGGCTAGGCTAGGTCAGGTCCTTCGCTCTCCTCATGACACTGTTCGGGAAGAAAGACTATCTGATAAAGGTAATAATGTTGACCTTAGATAATAAATGAATCAACTTCTCCTTTTCTCACTGTCTTTGTGTTTTGTAGGAACATTTGGGAGGGAGAAGGATCTCCCTCCCCAACTTTACCACGAAGAGGACGAAGTGGCCATTTATCGTACAAGTGAATGTTTTCCGAAATCTCCGATGGTAAGAACGCTTTCGTTTCATTTTTTAACACGTCTCATTCTCGTATCGTAATTTACTGTTTTTCTGTTTTTAGACATGCCGAAGATGTTCTTGGATCACACACACACACACACACACGCACGGATATAACATCACTGTACACGAAGATATACACCGTTTAACCTTTACTCGAATTCTCGCACTCACGCATTTACACGTCAAGCGCCACGTTCTGTGTAATTCCACACAATGAAACAACCCGAACACACGCTTCCCACAAATCCAACCCCTGGGTCCTCGTCCCGGGAAGTGGAAACGCCAATTTTAAAGATTAAAACGCTTTAAATTGGCGGCCGAAGGGGCTCTGGTAATCACACATCTTGCATGGATTAAATAGAATTTCAGACATTAGCATCAATAATCGTTTTGTGATGAATTTTTCTGTTAAATTCAGTGTGGTAAGAAATTATCTGCGCACAAATCTCGCTCGTAGTATTGCTAACTCTTACTTAAGATCATTAAAGATCTTACTGTTAATTAATCTTTATACCCATTTTTGGTTTCTCAAGATCCACGATGTGGGCTGCAGGACTGTATGACACGGAACTTGACAGACCGCCCTGGGTTCTTCAACAGCCCGAATCGATGTCAGAGCGGTAGACCGAAGTCTTAACCGCTCAAACATCCAGCCGTCACCTTGTTATACTAGGTCTTGAAAATATAACAAGTAGCAACACTTCCATATAAACAGTTTCTTATTGTACACTAGACACTTGCACATAAATTGTTTTTAGTTGGTCTGCAATGTACCATATCTCTTACACAATATATTATTTCGGTGACCATTTTATTCACGACGCGTTTTAGGATCTTAATAGCCAATTATTTCTAACGCGACCGGATTTCAACAAATCTAACCAAACTTGGGCCAAAGGTTATACATATAACACATAGGAAAGATGGATGGGAGGCCGACAAAGTCACGCTTGGATCGACTCGGGGCCGGTTTTGGTAGGTATGCAGCGCGTGCATGTACGCTGGCGGCCGATAGTGCTCTAAAAAATATAATTTTTCGTACTTAAATATAATAATCAACTGGCTCCTGCCGGTCGTTATCTAACTCCTTTCGGGGAAGAACTTTTTGAATGATGTATAGTTAATCGGGACATGCCGCCCCTAAGCTTTCTATATTTGGTCTTAAGTTTCATGTATCGAACTCCATTCTCGAGATTAAGTAAGTTAATAGCTTGAGAAACTCCAAAAAATGAAAAGAATATTGAATATGAGTGCGAAGAGATGGTAAGCGATTTAAAATCAGCGTTGGGAAGAGTTTTGTTTAAAATCTAAGTATATATCGTATACCTTATAATCCTGGATAGAGAAGGACTTGCATGTTTTTCCGCCTATGTACTGTACTATACTGTACATGCAAACAAATGACTGAGTGATCAGAGACAAATCCATTATTAACATTAGTACACAATATAAAATAAATATTGAAAATTATAACAAGATAGTTACGGCTAATAGATATATTTTAATTAGTAGTTGTTATCGAAGCGAGAATTGGCATTTAGAGGGCGTAGAGAATCTATTAAATCTAATATAACAGAGTTAATTATATTGAACTTGCTTATTTATTAAGTGCGTTAGATAATCTATTAATTAAAAATACATTTAGAGAAGTCTACGGTTTTTACTGGCTTATCGAACAAACAAATACGAATGGACCCTAGACCATCACTGACTGGCTGCCCCTGGAAGTCGGCTTCTTACAGAAACACAGCTTCCCTATCATCAAATGTCACGGCACGCCACTGCAATTCTGTAAGCCACATTCAAAGGGCTTCGCTAATACTCCGCCTCAAATATGGATACGGTTGATTATAATTGGAAATATTTAAGCCCGGAAAGTTTTCGAGTGGTTCATCCCTTTACTCTCTAACAGGCTGAATCCCCAATGGACTTGATAAAAGCCATTTAGGGCGGAAAGGAGGCAAAATTCAAAAATATTAAATTTCACTTTGAATGTATTTTTGTAAAATTTATATTTTGCATTTTAAAAATTTATTTTATCGATATAAACTTAAATAAAATTAAAATTTAAAATAAATCAATTCCATTCAATTCTTCCAGACGTCGCACTAACATCTCAGAACACGCCGAACATATAATCGAACGCACGATAAAAGTTAATAAATTTAATAACGTATTTTAAATTATTTAATTTGCAATTTTTATTACCTAATTTTCGCACGTAATATTAAAAAAATATTAAAAAACAAATAAAAATAATTAATTAAAAAAACATTAAAAAATCAGTAAAATTAAACCGGGACGAGATTATGTTTGAAACGTGGTCGCGTATGGCCTCATCGTCTGGCCGTGAGAACGGTTCGAAAACAATGTCGTTCGTTCCGAAATTATAGTTAAAATCTCGTTTTTCTTTAAATATATTTATTTAATGGTGTGCTATTAAGATGCGTTTATTGGAATAAATGTAAATTAAGTTACGTGACGAGTTAAAAGTAAGTATACGTCTGTTTGATTAATTAGGCTTAGCTCTCTCCGTAAGTTCATTTTACATTAATGACGTATTAATGACGTATTAATCAATGAGATTCGAATTGCCCTTGTTTATTGCGTGTTCGGTTCCGTTTATGTACTATAATTTTATATATATTTTAGTAATTTAAACGTAATATATATTTATGAACCATCTGATCGATCGTTTTGATGTTATATAACTTCTTAACACAAAAAAATTTTAATATTCCATGACTAAAACTTATGCAATGTATTCACTTCACTGTCTTGTTCTCTATACACATCATATCCAATAATACAATTATTATGTTAATTTAATAGAGAAAATATACACGTGATACACTAATGCAATGTGAGTTACATAGCAGCTGGGTTATACCTTTAATGACAATTCGGATCCATTCGTGAGGTCTGCTGTCGTGGATTCAGGATGGAGATATGAACTGGACCGTTGCGTTGCTGTTCCCCAGTGGGAGTTCGGTCATAGGCCCGGATGGGCTGACCACGTCTGTAATACCTAAATAGGGGCCATTTATCCTTGAAAAGATGACCTGGAAGGCATTGCCGTAACTTAATAAACAAACAGTAATCCGGACCACCGAAGAAAGATTGTGAGATCCGGACATAGGTGTCTGCAGAAAATTTGTCCCTTAGAAGAGTTTGGAGATGGATAATTATGTCAATAAATTTTTATGTAATCTTTTGAGGTTTTTAAGACAAAGCCTTGGTTTGAGGTATCTCGATCACTTTTATGACTATAATTTGGGGAATTTTTCACTTTCTCCCGTGGAAGGAAAAGTGTCTCGTTTGTCCTCTTCTGTGGGGTGGGTCTGTATCGCATTTGAATCCTGATTTTTTACGATAAAGTGGGATGGTGAACCTATGGAACATGTGCCCAAAGTGGCGTGGTGGAAAACTTGTCTGGCATGTAACCTAACATGTGATATTGATTTATTGCCTTTCTTTTTCGATCATCCTTTTTCCTGTTGGCTTCTTTACATTTATTCTAATTAAAGTGTATTTGTTTAATTTCTTTGAAAATCATTAATTGAAATCTAAAACGACATGTATAAACATTTTTAAAGATTTATATGCTTGCTATATAGCAGGGATGGCCAACACGTAGACCGCGGTCGATCACAAAGGTTTTGAAAGTAGCCCACGAAGTTAAAGTTGAACAATTTACTTTCACTTAAATTAATGTTTAAAAATCTTAATTTGATAATTTATTCTTACAATAATAGACTGTCTGTGCAATGTACCCATACTGTTTGTATTTATTCCGATGAACAATGCAAATGAATGCTAACGCATGTGCGTATAAAAATCCTAAAATTGTTTGCCCATATTCATAGTCGCCCGCAGACTACATTTTACCAAAAAAGTAGCCCCTAAGGGATAAAAGTTGGCCACGCCTGCTATATAGCGTAGACTCAAAAAGGTTCACCATCCCTGTGGTAGACAGATATCAGAGACTTTCTGGCCACTTTTTCTCTGTAGATTCCAATCATAAACCCTTCTGGGAATTTTTAAAAATATAGAAAAGTTATTTGTGCCCATTATTGGTCTAGTGTGTATTGAGGTCACCTAGATGAGAAAAGGAGTAGTAGTGATTCAAAATGTATACTAAAGATCATGGTTTTGATCAGATTTAAATCTAGATCTCTCATGATAGATTGATATTTGTTAATTTCTAGCCAGCTTTAGTCCTGAGATTATAAACATAAATCAGAATCTTTCTGACAATTTCTGGAACTTGGAAAACTTCCTAGAAAAACAGTATTCTGGAATTATGTCTGATTTCAAAACTGTTGACCTATTTTATTAAATGTAACATTAGTTACAGATTAAATTAAGGACATGAACAATAGTTTACAAATTTTCTTAAAGCTTTTTAATAAATAAATTTCAGAATATTTTTAAATGATTTTAAATAGATTTTTTTTTTTTCTTGTAATATCATTCATTCAAAATAATTCTGAAATTATATCTACTCTAAACAAGCAAATTAAAAGTGAAATATTTCCTTTTAATAAGTTTGTTTTTATAAAAGAGTTACTTAAATTTTCTTTTAATTCCTATATAAACTGAAATTTATCTCCGAAAACACACCCTCGGCAGTAACTTAAAATCATGTACAACACTTTATTTTTGCCAAGGAAAAGGTTTTTAATCGCAACTGTTTTTGGCTTGTTCAACAAACCAATTTGTCATTAACCAATTTGTCATTAATTTTACAGGAAAAAGAAAAATAATAGTAATAATCATCTTATAAAATGTAAGTAATATATAAAAAGTTTGGAAAGTGATGGCGTAAAATGCTTAACTGACACCATGATTTCAGCATTGATGAGATAATTTGAAAATTGGGAAAATTGTAATAATTTTTTTCCCTTTACATTAATAAAGTAATGTGATAGTTTAAATATTCAATGCTTTCATGCTAAAAGCAACTGTTAAAGATATTCATTTCATTAAATAACAGGAAATGTAAATTAAGTATGCTTTTAGCCCAGATACACATTAAAACAAATAACTTATCAAAACATGGCTAAATCAGAAGGGCTTATCACATGAGGACAAGATGGAAACTAGACTCATATTATTCAAAGCCCATTCATAGCCCATTTGGGTGCTCTTTAAATGGGCTTTGAGGGGTCTGAGCACCCAAAATGCATTCCCATATTATAGTTATATTTGATTAATTTGAGTCTGGTTTTTATTTCATCCTGATATGATAAGCCCTTCTTATTTAGTTGTGTTTTGATAAGCTATTTGTTTTAATGGGAAGTATAATATCAGTGAATAATAATAGTTAAAATTTATTATTGTATGTGTTTATGTCCAGTACAGTACATGCGCACATGGTCATATATAAATGTATACTTCAATTAAGAGTCTTTTACATTTGGGAAAAATTATACATTAATTAATGTAAATTGAAGGAATGTTTTTATTTTTAAATATATTAATAAAGTTTATAAATTTTTAGCTAAGGATAATTAAATTTTATCCGACAAGAAGATTGTCTTGTTTATTTATTTGGTTTTGATAAGTCTTTATCAAAAACAAATAAATAAATCAATGGGCAGCTGTTCATGTATTATGTATACAGTTTAAGTGGAGGAGGGGTCAAGGCATTGTCTGTTTGTCCTGTTTTTTTTTTTTTTATAGTGGTATTGTGTCATAAATTTATTTTCATAAGCTTGTTTACCAGTCCTATGAATGAAATATCAGTTAGAAAATATTTTCAGAACTTTGTCATTTCTTCAGTGTGGAGGTATGTGGTACTTTATATTTGAGTCATTGTACTGTACATGTAATTAGAGGAATGGGTTTGTCAAACATACATGATTGTACACAGCAGATGGGAGTTGAAAGTGACTCAAAAAATGTACACACAATTAATGGATGGCCTCTTAGCAACAGTCTTTAGATCCTTTAGTTTTTTTCAGAGATTCTTTTCAACAACAAACAGCTATTAACATTCTTAAAAAGTATTCATTTTGAAAGCTGTACTGTTTTAATAAAATTCTGATTGATATCATTTTGATTTTTAGTTTCTAAATCAATATCATCCTTTATTATTATCCATTAGATTATTATAAAATTCTAGAGAAATTGCTGTGATTGGAAAAATGATGAAAGCAGTAGTAGTTTATTGATGAATAAAAAAAGATACAAAGAATATTAGATTATTTTTGTATAGTTTATACAGTAGGTGATCAGTTAACGAACAAATCGGATAACGAACACTTTCGCGAAAGATTTTTATGATCGAACAACGAACACATGTTCGGATAACTAACTCTTCACTGAACAAACACAAGAAGAAGCGACGTAAAATAACGAATATCAATTGGTCTTCCTTTGTCTTCAGGCAACAATTCGAAACTTTTCGGAGCGCGAGAGACGTCGACATCGACGTTCAACCCAGTATATACTGATTGGATAGTATTCCCCCAAACTTTGAAACTCTCCCTTGTAATTCCAGCCTTTTATATTTCTGACAGAAACAATTCTTTTACGTTTTCTTCTGAAAATGCAGATTTATGCCGATATCTGCTATTAAAGATCTTTTGAAGAAGTGGGAGGATGTCAGAACAACGGTCTTAAAATGGCATTCAAACCAGGTTAAGGTTAATAGGCCTAGAGATCGCTACAATTACAATGCTATTAATTACTTCTGAAAAATCATGAAGAAGACAGAAAAGCAATCGACATTGGACAGATTCTTTAACCCCCACAAACGGAAAAAACATGACTAATGAAAATACAAGACCGTGTATATTGTATATGTATTTTTATTATTACATATGAATAAACATAGTAAGAAAGTATATATTTTTTATTTTTGGGGAGTCTCCAGAACGAATCAGTAGCAAAACCTTGATATGCACAATCAAAAAAAGGAAATAATTTCTTTTCCTATATATGAAATATTAAAAAAAAGTTAGGAATCTAGTTATTTTCAGTTTTTAATAAAAATCAAACTGATTTCTTTGATAAATAGCATACCTTCATTACTTTAGCTATTTCTTTCCACTGTTCTTCT